AAAAAAAAAAAAAAAAAAAATGCTATTCCTGCAGGTCGTGGTAAGCTGGAATGCTGCCCCCCCGATTAGAAGGGCCACAAAAACGTACCCTCTTCCCCCCTTTTTTCCCCTAATTCTTAAACCGCCACTACCTTTCACAGGCAAACTTTGGCAAAGGAGTTGACTACTTTGGAAACGAGGGCAATCGACACCTCGACTCCGCCACACAGGCGTTCAAAACAAGGTCCCTCAAACAAGTTTCGAAAGGAATCAGAGAGTTCGGCCTCGAAAGGCATTTCGAAGGGGCACGATCCTCCCGCTTGTCTTGGCCGTTTTTTCAAAAGCCCGCTTCCGGTCTTGTGGAAATGGCCCTCTTGAGGTCCCGCTGTCAGGGTCACTACCCCGACGACCATGAGCTTTGTCCCAGCATATTCGAGAGTGGGATTTCAAAGATGGCGATGGGATCGGTGTGGAGGACGGACATCCAAGCGGACAGTTATCAATTGTAGACACGCGCCCGCCTTGGCCACACACGACTTTCGATACGAACCAAGAACAACCCGAAAATATTGAAAGGTCGCCCTTGCCAAGCCTCTGTACCGAACACCGGCCTTTCAAATTCCTTGTCACAAATCTCCAAAAAAGGCCCTGATTTGAAACGCTGTGTGACGAGCCCCAAAAGACAAACACTCCGCCAGTTTACGTCGAACTTGGCTCGCAGAGCGAATTCGCCAAGGGAGAAAAAAGAGAGGCTCAGAGGTAGTGGTGCTTCGACACTGATGGTGCTGGCGCAAAACCCCCTTCCTGCAAAGCTCTGACACGCCCTTTGGAATGGGATCCTTGCATGTGCGGTAGATTCCTATCATCAAGATGGATAGGTGATTTTTTTTTTTTTTTTTTTTTTTGTTAGGTGCTTTTCACAGGTTGCCAGTGTGAGAGAGACTGCCAGCGGCCTAGCTCAGTTGGTGAGGCACGCAAGTGGAATTCAGGAGTGGCATTCAGGAGGTCTTGGGTTCAATCCCCATTGGCCTCATGTACCTTCCTGGGCAAGCTTGGCACCCACCACCTAGAGATAGGCCATTGGTTCCCCCGAGCGGCATTAAGCAGAGACTGCTGATGTTCCGAGGGGGGGGGGACCAGAGGGGAGGCACAGCAACTGGCCCATTGAAGAAGCTCGGTCCTGATGTTACCAGCTGACCCCTGGCCAGTATCGCCCACCTGCTGTAGCAGGTATCGCACCTGCTGGTGGGTGCAGCAGCTCTCGCATGTTCCCTCGTTGGAGACTCTTGAACACAGATGTGGCTGCTACTGGGTTCCCCATATTTTTTACTATAATAATGACAATAAAAAAGGCCTGAGAGCCTGTCCCGTCCAGATTTGCCAGGTAATTGAATTGGTTAGGCTTAAACCACCACTAACCCAGTCCTCTTTAAGATGAGAAAAAGAGTTTGAGATAGAACGAGGAAATAGGCTAATCGGCTCAAAAAAAAAAAAAAAAAAGGCTAATCGGCTTATGGGACGTCAGAGCCATCTGACAAGATCAGACACTTGCATGAGGGTCCTCCTCCTAAAAAGTCTAAGACAATGCCAGATGTTATCTTTACCATTCCTACATCTCTCTCTTTTCGCAAACAATGGACCTCACTCCACTACTGACCGCATGCACAAAAGACAAAAAAATATAGCGGGGTTACGGTGTATTCTTTCATGTTCTACCGGAATGTTTTTTTTTTTTTTTGGGAACGTTCACATTTGACACATTTGGTGAGCAGTGCAGCAATGCCTACTGTCCTCCGAGAATCAAAATCCGGCTTAAAAAAAACAGCAGTACTTTTTTTTCTGTCATTTTCCGAGTCTGAAATACCATCCCCTTACAGATCATCCTGACTCATTCTATCTAATACTGCCTTATAGGACCTCCCTCCAGCGTCCATTCGCAAACGGGTTATGTTAGAATCAGAAAACCACGCTCCGCGGCACTAGACAGGAGCATCCAGCAAGGCCTATCAGAAAACAGCTGCTCATATGCCTCCTGACAGGGCCCGCTGGATCATTTCCCTAAAAAAAAAAAAAAAAAAAAAAAAAAAAAAACAGCTGCTCATCTGCCTCCTTCTGACAGGCCCCGTTGGATCGTTTCCTCAAAAAAAAAGAAAACGAATCAGAAAACCAAAAAAAAAAGAAAACGAATCAGAAAACCAAAAAAAAAAGAAAACGAATCAGAAAACCAAAAAAAAAGAAAAGGAATCAGAAAACCACGGGGCTGTTCGCTTTTGTTGAGATCTGTTCAGAGCATACTTGCAACCGCACGAGCCGCACATTCGTGCAAAGTTCCGTGCGGGGGGTGCCTGTGCGGAATCGTGCAGGGTTTTTTTTTTTTTTGGGAGGGGGAACGGGGGGGGCGTATGACCGGAAGTTGGGGATAAGAGGGGGATATGGAGAGGAGCAGGATATGGACGACGAGGACGACGAGGATAGCGAGGGCGAGGAGGAGGAGGAGTCGAGATGGGGGAGGAGAAGAGATGGACGGAGGGAAAAGAGGAAGGGCAGAAGGAGGAGGACGAGCGGGAGGAGGAGGAGACATGGACGGCAAGGAAGGGGAGGACGCGAGGAAGCGAAGGAGACGAGGAAGCATGGAAGATGAGGAAGTACGAGGAGGAGGAGGAGACGAGGATGAGGAAGGGCATGAGGAGGAGGACGAACAGGAGGAGGAGGAGGACGAGGAGGAGGAGGAGACGAGGATGAGGAAGGGCATGAGGAGGAGGACGAACAGGAGGACGAGGAGGAGGAGGAGATGAAAAGGAGAAGGGAGGAGGAGACATGGAGGATGACAAAGGGCAGGAGGATCAAGGTGAGGCAGTACTCCTGTAATTTTTTTTTTCATCTCGCTTATGATTTTGGCGGGGGGCCTCAAACGCACCATTTCGCCCCCGGCCTTTTTTTTTTTTTCTGAGGGGGGTGACGGGTCGTTCCCCGCACACGTCGAGCGCCGCACAGGATCGGTTGGGCGCGTGCGCCACACATTGGGAACCGCCCGCACGATGTGCGCTTGCAAGTATGGTTCAGATGCCAATGAAGTGTACACAGGTTTCAAGACCAAAACGCAGACTGGAGCCCCCGAGCTTTGCCGAGTGAAATGTGTGCTCCCGGGTGCATGCGGGTGGAAAACTACCTTTAGCGTCCACAAACTTGAAACTGGACTACCTTTATTTAGCGTCCACAAAACTGAACTACCTTTATTTAGCGTCCACAAAACTGAACTACCTTTATTTAGCGTCCAGAGGAGAATTTTGTCTCATGATTGCAAATCCGCAGGCCGGAGCGTGTTCTGGAGGGATTATTCCCCCCCTCTTTTCCCTTCTTCTCTTTTTCCTTCTTTTTCCTTCCTTTTTAAACAGGCAGTACGTTTCCAAGCTTTTTTTTTTTCCCGTTGCAGCTGGATGCATGCCACAATTTTCGGCGGCCGGCTGCCGGAGCAAAATGGATGGCGGAGCCAGCCGAAAGGAGGCCTGCACCGTTTTTTTTTTTTTTTTCTGGCAGGTAGGGCTTTTCAAGTTCCGGGAGAAAGACGCTTGGTGACGGCCTTGAGGTACCATCTTTGAGCTGACTGCCCCCACGTAAATTCGGAGTCATTTTACTCATCTGATTCCTCTGGCATTCGAACTCGGGTTTGTATTTCAACAGTTCATCCGCTGGACCCGTTTTCCAGCAGGTGATACTCCCTACCAATAGATGGAGCTGTTCCTCAAAAAAAAAAAAAAAAAAAAAAAAGCTGTTCCTCCAAAAAAAAAAAAAAAAAAAAAGTTCATGCGTGTACCAACTGAGCTAGCCCAATTCTGGAGGGAATCTGAGTAACCTGACATATTGACAATTCAGCTGCACCCAGAAAGTCCGGCACCGCCACTTCACCTTTCCGGCTGCAGGGTTTGGCACAAATTGTTCTTCGGATGGATACTGGGGCCCGACCCTTGGCAAGGGAAATCGACAAGAAATCGCTCCCAAATTCCCCCCAGATAAAAAATTGGAACACCAATGCAACCGAGCCTCTTTTTTCCCCAGTTCGCACTTTTGCCCCACCGTCCCTGCCACCGCCAGCCTTTTCCAGACGCGGACACCAAGCTTTTCCGTAGTGCTGTATTATGCAAAAGGGATGATGCACAGCCGGTCATGAGCCACATCGGGAACACAATGTACGGCCTCAACATTGCATTTTTTTTTATTTTTATTTTTTTCCACTAGCAGTTGGGGAGGGGCTCCATCTATTGACGATGGGGAGCATCATTGACTATTCAATAACGGAAAGCTTTCGAGCTGGCTTCGTTATCCTCACCGCGGAATCGTCTCCCCTACCAAAAAAAAAAAAAAGGCTCAGCTTCAATTTTTTTCAGCTGGATGAGATATTATGTCGAGTATGAACAAAGATGCTACAGAAAGTGGACATTGGTGTCTTTTCCTGGCGTTGATGCATATTTTATTATTTCAACACCACCTTCACATGACCATTGCACCCAGAGGAGCATGGCACGGATGGGTGGTCATTGCGACTTTTCTAAACGTTTCTTTCGCACACTGTACAAGATCGCAGCCATGAACGCTGAGGCGGAGAAAGCAGTAGGAGACTGGAAGTAGGAAGTGGACGACCTTTTTTCTTTTTTTTTCTTTTTTTTTTCCTTTTTTTTTTGCGTTCCCCCTCGAAGGCCCCTACCCACCCTTCCTCTCGTCAATGTCCCTGGCGCACCCCCCCTTCCCCCCCCCCTGTCCTGCCCTGGTATTACCCACCTGAGACCACCACCCATCACCATCTTGGCAGGGTGAAGACGACAACAATGACACGAGGGGGTTGAGTGGAACGACGATAGCACGCAGCAGGTTGGAATGAACCTTGGCCGTGTACGGTGGCGCTAGGTGGCCAGCCGGTTTCCAGATGTGGTTTTCAAAAAATGCCGGTATAGTCAAGGGATGACAGTGGATGTAGGAATGAAATAGCCCTGGCAGCAATTTATTTTTAAAAGAAAAACAAGGGTGGGAACGGGTCTGCTAGTCAGCCATCGTATCGCAGATTATCTTATTGCAGAATTTGCAGATGATTTGTGTCAAAAAAAAAAAAAAAAAAAAAAAAAAAAAAAAAAGATAAATTAGACAAAATATTTAAGAACTATTTTGACCGTTTTTTTTCCATTTTTTTTTTTTTTTTTTTTTTTTTTTTTTTTTTTTTTTTTTTTTTTTTTTTTTTTTTTTTTTTGAAGTTGCATTTTCTTTTTCTTTTCCTATTTTTCTTTTCCGTACTGGTTCCTCCAGCCTCGGCCTGTCCTGCTACCGGTATCCCCAGGCTCAATAGGCTCGGCATACCGGTTGCCCCAGGGTCCGTCTGAAAGGTACATTGAGGTACTGGTGGTTTAAGGGCTCCCTTCTTCCTTTTTTTTCTCTTTTTTTTTTCTGTTTTTTTTTTTCTTTGAAGCGTCAACAGCCACGGCCCTCCATAAGGTGAGGGATAACTTGCCTTGGGGCGAGGCCCCAGGAGCAAAGAGGATTGGATCAAGTGCCTGAATCTGGATGTGTTTTATCCAAAGGTGCAGAAAAGACGCTCAATCTCGATTTGTTGCACCTATGTGCAAAAGCTTCCAGATTCATGCATCCAATTCAACCGTTATTGCTAGTGGAACCTCGTCTCTGGTCTTATCGAGGGTCCATCAAATATGACGGCTCCGTTCCGTCTGCGGGGGAGCCACACTTGCTACCGTCTTCACCTGAATAGAAAGCCCCCGGTTATTAGTACGGGGCGTGCTATTGGGATGACAACTGAAAACGGTAGGAACTGAGCCAGGCGTCCATTTTAAACCACCAGGACTTCCTAAAGTAGTGCCCTTTAACAAGCCACTATTTTAGGAAACGTACGGGCCACTACAGGAGCGACCAAATTCATCCAACTAGACGTGCTATTCGGATGACAACTGAAAACGGTGCGAACTGAGCCAGGCGTCCCTTTTAAACCACCAGGACTTCCTAAAGCCGTGCCCGTTAACAAGCCACTAGTACGATTTTAGGAAACGTACGGGCCACTACAGGAGCGACCAAATTCATCTGACTATAAAATGGTATAAATGTTCCTACTCTATTTTTTTTCGACGGCCGATAGCTGGACCAAGTACTGGTTGTTTAACAAAAACAAAACAAAAAAACAGATGCGAAGCGAAAGAAGAGAACATGTATCTGGATTCCGTGTTTCTGGGCGATATCCTCCAAGTCCACAGTCCACAGTTGAGAATCAATGCAAGGGGCACCCTCTTCCGCACCCCCCAAAAAAGTTGTAGGCTCCTCTACATGTGGCCTTGCGAAACGTTCCTTTTCACTCTCAGGTTCTCTGCTTTGTGTGCAGCGGACAAAAAAAAAAAAAAAAAAGGGTTGTGTGCAACGGGACGGGATAAGGGACCGTCTTGTCCAAGTCCCAAAATGGCGCTCTTGTTCCGGTCCCAAAATGGTACAATTCCTCTACACGCCAAGTCCCAAGATGGCACACTGGTTCCGGTCCCAAAATGGTACAATTCCTCTACATGCAGATTCAATTTGTTGCAGATCATTTTCCGTGAAGAAGGGTGGAGGGTTCTGCCCTGCCCTGCCTTGCTTTCTATCCCGGACGAAATAGCAAGCATAGCTTTCATTTATGACAAGGCTATGGCTAGTTTTTTTGGCCTTTTCGAAGAAAAATTCGCACCCCATCCATTCGGGCGGGGGGGGGGGGGGGGGGGGGGGGGGGGGGGGGG